CTCGGGTTTGCGGGACCCCGTGCAAAATAAATAACAGTCACATTACATATTATCCAAACTAACTAATCTCTGAACAGTATAAAATATAATTTAAGAATTGCGGGGCCTTGGTTATAATTTTAAAATCGCGGGGCCCGGGGCAGCTGCCCCGATTGCCCTCCCTCGCGCCGTCCCTGTTGACAGGTCTACTTTTATTCTTTATTTTTCGATTTAAATCGATATAAATGTAACTGTCATTATTATGCCGTGCGACGACTTCCACATTTTTAGTCAATTATATTGTGTTCAATATTTTGGTGTATTTTACATTGTTATTAAATATTAGAATATACTAAGAATATTAATCTTTTAATTATTCATGTAAGTGAAACAAGTAATTGCACGGGCTTTCAGAGACAAAATGGATTGGAGAGTTGAGTATTAATAAGTTATAGATTATAAATCATTAGTAAATATTAAATAACTAATGAGCAGAGCATGATTATTTTAATATCATAATTTTATTTTGTTTGACACAACGAGTACGAGATCGGTCGCCATTTTTGTTGTTATAGGCAATTTCCATTTACCATTCGCCGGGTGTAGTGTGGCCGTGAGTGTGATTAGGATGACGATGGTCCACACTCCACAAACATATCGTCCGGTGCCCGGCGTTGGCATTTTGGCAAACAGGRTATGGGTGAGTGACGACGGTCGTGGCTGTGCAATATGTGCTTTTTCTTCCAGGGTCCGGAAGTTGTCTCTTCCATGGTTTACTCGCAGCTGATCGATCGGCCATTTTGAGAAATTTTGGTCGGGGGAACAAAAAGGAAAAATTCATTCCCTATCAATTTTTCCTATTGACCATTTTGTTTATGTATTTCCGTGATTTTAATSCCATTACCGTTCGTCGTAAGTCGTTGATTAAACAATAATCAATTATGACAGTGCCCGAGCGTTTGCGAATATCGCCGTCGTTCCGCCGAACCAGCCTCGTCCGATTCTGAGGTAAGCCCGTGATGATACACTTTAGGCTTGATTAACTTGACAGTATAGAGACTGTTTCGATTAAAATATAGCGTTGACCGTGCACTGGACGTTCGGCGCAGCACATTGAAAATTAGCTGAACGTCGTTAGTTAATGACAACTCGTTCGTTGAGAGCCCTGGAAGGTAAAAAAGCGAACGCAATGGGCAACGCCGCGACGGCTAACAAGAAAGGCGACTCGGCCGAGAGCGTCAAAGAGTTCCTCGACCAAGCCAAGGAAGACTTCGAGGAGAAGTGGAAAAAGAACCCCACAAACACGGCGGCCCTCGAAGACTTTGACCGTATCAAGACGTTGGGTACGGGCTCGTTTGGCCGTGTAATGATTGTACAACATAAGGCTTCCAAGGAGTATTATGCCATGAAAATACTTGATAAACAGAAAGTGGTTAAGTTGAAACAGGTAGAGCACACTTTGAACGAAAAGAGGATTTTACAAGCAATCAGTTTTCCGTTCCTCGTCAGTTTGAAATATCACTTCAAGGACAATTCCAATTTATATATGGTGCTTGAATATGTGCCGGGAGGTGAAATGTTCTCTCACCTGCGAAAAGTTGGCCGATTCAGCGAGCCACATTCGCGTTTTTACGCGGCTCAAATAGTGCTAGCATTCGAGTACCTACACTATCTTGACCTAATCTACAGAGATCTCAAGCCAGAAAACTTGCTGATCGATTCGCAGGGCTATTTGAAAGTGACTGACTTTGGTTTTGCGAAACGTGTCAAAGGGCGAACATGGACCTTGTGTGGTACGCCTGAGTATTTGGCACCTGAAATTATATTAAGCAAGGGATATAATAAAGCTGTTGACTGGTGGGCTCTTGGAGTTCTAGTATATGAGATGGCTGCTGGTTATCCACCGTTCTTTGCCGACCAACCTATACAGATATACGAGAAAATTGTCTCGGGCAAAGTACGTTTCCCATCACATTTTGGTTCTGACCTTAAAGACCTACTGAGGAACTTGCTACAAGTGGATCTTACTAAACGATTTGGCAACCTAAAGAACGGTGTCAACGATATCAAAGGACACAAATGGTTTGCATCAACAGATTGGATTGCTGTGTTCCAGAAGAAAATTGAAGCTCCGTTCATTCCTAGGTGCAAAGGACCAGGAGACACAAGCAATTTTGACGAATACGAGGAAGAAGCATTGAGAATCTCTTCGACGGAAAAATGCGCCAAAGAGTTTGCAGAGTTTTAAGGTATGCAAACTGTCTATTTTATTTAGATACATTTATACATTTTGTTTTTGCAACCTCAGTACACAATTAATATTAAAATAGGAGGACCAAACTGTTTATGAGAAATTCTGCTTGTATCAATATTATTATGATTTTAGTAGGTTTTTACTAAGATGGCTTTGTTTAGCCAGTGGCGTTCGCAGAAGATCAACTTTGTTCAAGAGTCAGAAAACTCAGAAATATTGTTATTACATCATTGTGACAATGGTACATTTCATACATTTAAATATACTTGGGTATATTTATACAATTTAACAATCTTGCTCTACCTTAGATAAGATACAATCTCTTTTTATATTGATTGTGTTCTTTTGTTAATTTGTTTACAATATTTGAATTAATATATTTCTTTTGATCCTTTCTTGTTGTTAGATTTTGACAAATTGGGACTTAATAGATAATTGAAATATAGTTATTTGTAAAAAAAAATAAACGTATATATAATATATATTATAACAATAATAATAATAAAAATAATTATTAATAATTAACTAAATTAAAATATTACTAGTTGTTACTTATATCATATTATTATTACATAATAGTATATTCTGACCTCTGCGTACACCACTGCCTAAGTTTTTTCAAACCATTTTATTTACTCAAAATAATCAAACGTGGTTTAACTAACTATTAAAATGAATAGAACAATTTTTTTTAGCCAATAATTTAAGTGTATACGTAAAGAATTTTCCTCATCATAATGTATTATTTTATGTTTAAAATCGGTGCCATTTGTATTGAACCACCATTTGAACAACAGGTATCCGATTTCATTGCTTTTATTATCTGTTTAAACATTTTAAAGAGCTTGTCTAATATTAATTACTGTATGGTGATTATTATTGTTAATATTTTTTTTTTTTTTTTTTGGAAGTGGATAGTTCCTAGTGAAGTCACATTATAAATCTATAATCTTAATGCAATTTTTTGTTCATATAATGTTGACCAAAAAAATTATAATAATAGTAAAAATATTTTTTTTCTGAATGATTAAATCTATTATTTTAAATGCTAACATTTTGAAAATAAATTGCATTTAAATGATGTAATATTTACTTTAATGTTTTAGCCCAAATGTAAAGTTTCTTAAATCAAGTTTGATTAATTGTTAATTTTTGTATAGACATTTAAAGAATTTTAACTTGTTGTATGTTATTTATTCTTGGATATTTTTTGATGTTTTATTTGGAATTCACTAAGAACTATTCATTTTGTATTCTGTTTTGTTTTTCTTTATACATATTATGTATCTATTTGTTTATTTATTTTTATTTTGTGTCGAGTGCAATGCTATAATGTGTTAAATGGTTTTTTTTTTTATGTAGAGTTCACATTGAAAATATACTACAAAATATACAATAATAATTAATATAATTATAATTATAGATTTAAACAGTAAAAGATATTCTAGATATTAGCATTTTATTAGGTTTCTTAAAAAAATAAAATATTTTGTCCCATTAATTATACCTATTTAATATATAATGTTAAATTGGCTTGCCAACATTTTGTGACAGAATACTAATACCCATGTATGTATTTTTTGTTTATATATATACTAAGCTCTAACTGATATTTCATTTTTCGTGCGGAGTTCAGGGTATGTTTCCCGGAGTTAGAAGCATCTACATATAACAACTTGTACTTAACTTAAAATTATGTTTTTCTTTAGGTATCAGTCTTGAAATGGTGTCAGCTCTTATGATTTTAAGTTAAAATAAAACTAAAAATAATTTTAATAATTATCGCTTTACTTATCTACTTATTTATTACACACCTACAGTCTTTTTGTGATTTCTCCTAAATTAATTACATTATTATGTTTTATTATAATTATTTGTTTGTCATTTTGTAAGAAGCACAATCTATGAAATCATATTCTTGTTACCAATATTTACCATGTTTAGATTTTTAATGTGTAATAATCTAAAATTTAGTCTAAATGAGCATTGAAGATCCCTAGTCAGTATTTCAAACATCTAAAATAATAATTATTGTTTTATAATCTTTCACTTTATTATTGTTTAACTTTTGTTTTTCGATTGTCTATTTTTAGTTACAATTGATGAGTATTATTTTAAATTATTATTATGTTTTTATTATTATTAATTAATTGTGATGTTTTTGTTTTGTGTTTTAACAAATCATTAGGCTATATAATAAAATTAAAAATAATATTTCTAATATTTTAGATGGCATTTAATATTAGGTATTGTTTGTGTATGAATTTATGTTGGTTTTATTTATATTTTATTTTGTAGTGTTCTTTTAGATCTATCATAATAATAATTATTATTATAATACTATGCTGTATATATATTATATTTTATTAAAATCATTTAAAAATAATATTTTTGATGTTTTGATGTATACAGTTATATACCTACATTAACATACATCAGTTTACCTGATACCCAGATATTTAAGGTGGATAATATTAAAAGCACAGTTTAAAACAGGAATGCTGTATTTTGACATAAAATAAAATAAGAGTTAAACATTTTAAGTCATTGAGTTTACAATTAAAAGAAATACGTACAGTAAGCAATTATGCTAATCTATTACATTATATTATCTGTTAACACTACTGAAGGTGGGATAACATTCACAAAACAATGGATGGATTATGCTTAAAATAATCATTGACTTGTAATATGTCTATATATATAATATATATAGGTATATATATATTTATATTATTATATTATTATATATATATATATATAATTCATATATTTATATGATATTTAGTATTTATTTTAATGTAGTAGTTTGTAATTATAATTTTTAACAAACTAAAAGTTTAAGGTGTAAGAAGCTTAGGAAGCATATCACTGCGACGTCGGCGACCTGGACCACCAGCAAAATTAGCTGCTGCCATGCCCATTAAATGTTTTGCCGCTTGTGTGCCTGAGTAGCCTCGGCTTAAGCCCAAATCGAGCCCACGCTTAGAACTGGAAAACAATTAAAGCACAATTTTATAAAGTTAAAATATTTAAAGTTGTACATAATATGAACGGTTTTTAATTTCTATTAAATTCCTGAAGAGCTCAAATTGATTCTACATAAGTATTGAAAGGTTAAAGTATGCAATTTAGCCTTTAGAGCAACTTATTAGTAGTGAAATTTACCAACAGGTAAGTTATGTAATTATATTGTTATAAACTTTAGTTTATGATTAAAGTTGTTGTATCCCCTCAGGAAGTTTAAAAGTGTATCAATGTTTTGCAATGTTGGATAATAACAGTTCATATACCAACCTTTGATATAACATACTATATCTGTTTTTATACAATACTTGGGGCATTTTAATAGTATTCTTTGTTTTTTCTTATTCTAATATTTGAAGGTACAATATATTTGATTTTAATGAAATATGTAATTTGCTTGCTTCTTATTAAACCAATTTAAATATTTTTTTCACATATATTAATAATTATTTATTTGTTTTAAAACAAATATACTGTACATATCTTTACTTATGTATAAAGTTAGCAAGTAATCTAAAATGTTAATCATTTAAAACAATGTGAATGTATCATTGTTACAGAATAATTATGTACTACATATTAATATATTATATAATCTATAAGCTTGGTATAAAATATAGCAAGTCAGGGCATTTATGAGTTAAAAAGTTAAAGTTAAGTTACTTTTAACTAAGTAACTAAGTTATGTAACTTTTATATGATATTTTATATTGCCTATATATCAGATTATTAATTAAATTTGTGTAGTCCCATTAGGTTAATTTTTAATTTTTAACTTATAACTTCAGTTAGTTTGATTTTATCTTTGAATGGCTTTTTTTAGTGTAATTTTTTAAATTTTTAAATGATTTGTTTTTTGACGAAGTTGAATTCTCATTTATTATATTTCATTATATTTAAGTTTTTACAAGTTTTATAAATATAGTATGTACTTAAACTTTAAACTTAACTTACTTTTGTAAAMATTGAATTAGGTAGTTAAAATTGTCATGATATTGGTACCTATGCATATTTGTGACTGATATTTTATACATAGTCACGTATAGTGATTTTTATAATTTGTTTTCATGTTTAAATTAACTTTTTATAATTTTATATGTGAGTTTCTGATTGGTGGTGTGTTTGTGTTTCGAGAGGGGAGAGTTTAAATTAGTATTCACTTCCTTTTTTTTTTTTTTTTTTTTTTTTTTTTGGCATTGCTCATGTGTGTACAAGTTGATTTGAAATTTGATTATTTGTAATTGTTGCAATGACAAAAGTGTAGTTAAAATTGTATACCTATTGTATAGCCATAGTGAAGGTACTATATTGATCAATATTCAATCTATAGTTTGGTATTATAAAACATGATTGTGATATGTGAGTTATTAAAAAAAATATTAACTCATATAATATATGATACTTGCTTACATATAAAAACCTCATAAATTTTAACGAATTTCAAATAATTGATGTTACTTATTTTTTCAATTCAAACGTTTAGCACTTGGGTAAACAGGCTTGAAAAATTGTATTTTACTGTAATCAACATAGGTGGTAGGTACTCACCTATGGCTTATACGTTTTGATAAAATCACAAAAAATCACATTCAAGGAATGTAACTATATAAGCAGTCGAAATGTTCGAGATCTTAAACATATCAAACCCTATTAAATAGGTACCGTATATATTTTTGATATACCTACCTACATAGTCTTATAATAAATTATTTAAATTTTAAAACTAACATGTAAAACTACCTAATGTTCTTGAGGATTAATTAATTTTATAATTCTTATCCTTTTACAGAGAAATTATTTTTAAAATTGTTTCAATATTTATAGCGATTAATCGATAGAATGATTTATTTATCGTTCCTCCACAATTATTATTATTTATGATATAAACAACTGACTACTAAACATTTTTTTATGATGTTAATTTATAATATTATGTTTCACTAGGTTTCATGAATATTAATATGTATTAGAAAACTGAACAGTCAACACGGAGTAATAATATTCCCGTTATGGATATTGCAAAATTTAACTGACAGCTGAGTTGTTGAAGGTTAGTAGTAGGTATCTGCGAAAAGTAACTATTAATGATAGGCCAAAGTAAGCAATATTTCCATATAAGATAAAAATAATATTATTCTATGAATCCTAGTTACAATTTATATAGTAGGTACATAATTGTACTTATGCATAGGATGGAATCAGTTTAGTATTTATAACCAACTAAAATTGAATAAATATATTAGGTACGTACCTACTAAAATTAGTTACCTACTTACCTAGCTATCTAAATAATAAATATATTAAAAATATTTTGAAATTTAATATTATGGTATATTTTACCACCCTGGATTATACAACTTCCCTAAGTTTTGGTAAATTGAAACAAAAATATAGATATAACTACAATATGAACAGCTATGTTTGTATGTGGTTATGTGGTACCTATAATCGGGCTATACTTACTAAAATGCGTACATATTTATGTGCAGTACTATAAATTTAAAAAGGTTATAGGTAGTCTTTCGTAAAAAAACAATCAAAATAGTTAAATGCCTAGGTACTCTATTGTCTCTTTACAACTTAATGGTTCTGAATTTTAAATTATTTAGAAAAAAAATTGAGGTTTAAATGTATAGGTATAGGTATTGGTTATTATTAGTTTTAATAAATTTTCTTAAAATTTTTGATTCGGTGATTAAAACACTAAGGGAATTGGTTACAAACAACAATATTATATTTATAGCAGTATTATGTTATGTTATGAACGTTTCATCTTGAATCAAGATTCTTGATTTTTGAGATTTTGATTTTTCAATTAAGGTCAATGTTTTTTAAATAGGTTCAAGGTTGATAAACTATGTGTTTAATTGGATCGAATTCAATCTAAAGTTAACAGGATCCTAGCGAGGATAAGACAGAATTATATCCTGTAATATTTTGTAAGCTATTTTCTTAATTTATCGTGTTTAAGTTAAAGTTAAGCATAATAACTGTGTAATCAGTTGGTAGGCTGTTATATTATTTGATTATTACATTAGGTACATTTATTATAAAAATACTCTAAATTTTTATTGACTATATATAACTATATTTTTCTGAGAGTTTCAATTTATTAAAATCGAATTTCAAACGTGTAATTAACGAATTATTTGTGTATCATAATTTTATTATCGAAGTGGAATGGAAYAGTAATATAATGTAAAATGTTGGATAAAAAAATATATACCTATATTTACAAATTATTCATCCAGTTGTTGATTTAGATTGGTACCATGACATTTTCAAAACAATTAACTGGTTATCTGATTACCTAACGGCTAAAAAAAGATAGTTTTGGAAATAATAAGATTGTATTGGCCCACGATTTCCTTAAATTACATAAAAATCTACAATTAATTGAACATATCTTCTTAAGTCTTAAAGTTAACATACGAATTTCAAAAACTAGAAATTTACTACAAATGAAGTAAATATGCTTGGAGGTAAATCATTCTATATATCTCTTTTACAACGATGCCGGTAAGGAGGAGATCACTATGATTTCCTCGCGCACTTCATCAGTGACTTGTTATTATATTACGCTTTTGTGCATGCTCAAAACCGTGGATAAGAAATTATTTTGTTCTATTATACTAGTATAACACTAAAGCAATGGTACTAGAGTTTGCTCTTAAGTCTTCCCATATACGGATCGTGCATTCGTTATATTTGTATCATATATACAAAATACAAAGTAGGTTCCTATTCATTACAATATTGCCAATTGGTAAAGGTGGTCGGTGACTCGTTATCTACTGCTGCTATAAGCATAATATTTTCAACATTTTGTAACAACGCTATAGGTTATTCAACGAGTAAGTTACGTCTGTTAATTTTCTTGTCAATTATACCAATAGCTATATTTGATTAAAAAGTAGAATATGCTTAATTGATATCTATATATTGTCTAGTCAATGATCATTTTATCTAATCCCAGTATTATTTTATTCTTATTTAGTTATATTTTAATTGTTTATCCCAGGTGCCCATAGGTCAATGTTAAATTCGTTTACATATTACTATATGAGGTACCTATTTAATATCAAATTAAAAATATGATCTCAAATTTAAGGCCATACCTTAAATAAAAATTGATAAAACTTGTACATAAAAACCAATTATATTAAATTATATGTTTAAAAAAATGCACCGAAAACGGAAAAAGATAATATAAATTTGGGATACCCTAGCCCCTAGGGAACAGTGCTCATTCAAATAACAATAAATCTATTATATCATATAACGCTTCTGAGTTTTTCAGTTATATTTTATAGTCGACCAACACTAAAAAATCGAAAAGTTTTTTGAGTATATTAAATTTTTAGAAATATTAGTGGAGTAGCTGCGTGAACTGTGTAGGTACGTTTTAGATTATACGTTCGATTATTTCATTAATAATGCTTTATTTATTTTTTAAATATATTCAGCATTTAGCTTTTGTACTTTTTTTTATGTATAGATTGTATATAAAAAAAAAAAATGAATACATTCAGCATTTGCGTTTCTTGAAATTAAATACAATGATAATAACATGTTGTTGGTAATTAATGAGCTATTCCTGTTGAGGAGTCTTTTTCGATTTTTGCATTGGAATTTCATTGAAAAGACTCGTCGTATATACAATACGACTTCCGCCACTACAGGCGCGTATGCTGAACTATATTAATAGAACCATAGAACGTATGAAATACACCMCTCAGACATACCATGTCAATGGACAACGATGTTAAATTGCCATCAATCGGGACGACGTGACAACTAAACATACAGTAGCAATAATGAGCGATTGTTTATTTAAAGTTTAGACGAGAGGGATCGCAATTTGGTGGGTAGTTCCCTGTTTGTCACAACTCCTCATAACATTAGAGTTTTTAGAAAAATATCCCGCTAAGGGCTTAGGTGTATAAAATTTAAAATTGTTGTTGTCATTTAAAAAAGAAAAATTATTTTAATTATTTTTGTAGGTGTAAAATCGTTTATCATATTATATTCGATTAAAAAGAATTCGCTCAACTATAACATGGGTTAATTTTGTACAATAAAAATCTGACCATCACTAAAGTCGTAGGTAATGATAAAATAAATAATTATGACATTCTCATTTATCGAAGTAGGCAGGTACTCACCAAGCATGCTCCTTGCTTATCTCTGCGTTTTTCAGTTTCTGATTTTGGAAATCTTTAATTTAATATGGTATTTTTAAATATGCAGGTAGGGTACAACTGGTACTAGATATTTAATGCCATTTAAGATTTTTACTGTGGGTATATAACATTATTTTTTAAAACAAAAATCACCCTTTTTTCCTAGTTCACATGTAAATTGTTTTTATGTTTATAAATAAAAAATTATAACTAGTAATTTCTGAGTTGTTAAACCTTATAATATACTAGGTAAGAATAATATTCCATGATATAACCATTACCGTGATATATTTTTTGAAAATCTTCGATTGTAACTATGAGTAAAGTTAAGTATCAATTTTAATTGAATAAGTTATTATTAAAACGTAAATATGTATATTATTATGTATAAATGTAATTATAATAGCCTTACTTTTTGAAGCAGAAATTTATAATTTCAAGACCAATGAAAAATAAAAATAAAGTTAAAATATATATATATATATATATATTAAGTATTAACATTTTATGTTTGTAGAAATGGGTTGAGTAAAATTATAGCACGTACTTAGGTATTTAGATTTAATATTTGCTATACGTATTACATATTTACATTTATTTTAAATTTGATTACTTGACAAACTAACATCCATTACCTATATATAACGATTATTATCTTGATTATACAAAGTTTAATAACTCAAAATTAAGTAGTTACTTTGAATTAAAATTTTTAGATGTGCCAACAATTTAAAAAAAAAAATCGTTCGCTTAACTATACACTGTAAGGAATTAAGGAATGTTGTTAAATTTAAATGGAGGTACGTCACCATGCAAATTTATATAGGATATTCATGTTAATTAACTTTGCATGTAAAAGTAGGTTAATATGTCACAAATATTGAAGAACATAATGGCATAATTATTTCTGTGTACATTTCAACTGAAGGTGTTGTTTAAATAAAAATAAATATATTTACTGTAAAAAAAGTGAATTTTGAGAAACAATATTTTATATTGCCACAACCCATGGGCCACTTCTTACACGGTATAAAACAACCTAAGTAACTACTTGAAAATTCCAAAAATTAGCATTTTTAATAAATTCATTACTTTAGGGACAATGGAGGAGAGCATACTTGCAGTTGAATCACTTCCTATATTATCAAACTTATTAATTGTGCAATATTTTTATTTTCTGAAATATAGGCAGAACCTAATGCGAAATTATAATGCACCTTATGAATAATAATTATTTAGAAATGTTATTCAAAGATATCAAAATATTGTATTGTTCGTAATTAAATTGAAAAATTACAACTTATTTTATTTCTTTATACTGTTGACTAGTGAATATTGTATCTTGTACCGTCAAAATAGTTATAACTTATAAATAATCGACAGGACAAGAGCGGGCAGATTGGTACACTCAATAACTTGATATAAACTCGTCTTATTAGTTGTATATTATGATATATCCTATTAGCATATTTATCATTGGTGTACTGTAAAATAAATAATATCTTTAGGTGCAGCAGGCTATATTTTTTGAATCCGTTAAATTAAACTCATTTGATTCTCATCTCTCGGTATACATTTGGCCATATGGTTATAAATATAACTATATAAGCATCGTTTTATTTATTGTATTTTTTTTATCAGTGCAGGAATCCTATACTACAACAGGAGAGTGACGGATGTCAAAACAAATAGGTATAGTGTCACAGTTTCCAAGGTCCGTATAGATTCGACATAATAATAATCATAATATATTCATTTTTATATTGTTATACAGAGTGATCCACCAAGTGGCAAGCATGGATAGCCTTCTTTTATCTTTTAATAATTAATTTATAAAAGTTTGATTTTATGAATTTAAAAGTACCTTCATTCTATATACATAGATATTTAAGGACCGTATTATCAAATACTAACATTTTTATACCATTAAAAGAGTGTTTTTTAGTGACAAAAATCCCCTTTTCCTTTAAATTGTTTAGAAAATAATTTTTTGAAGATCTTGATTTAATAAAATCACAATTTGAGCTGGGGAATTTTGAGTTATTATAGTTAGGTTTGTTGTTAGGATAATAGTCCTAAATAATGGTTTAACATAAAGTAAATAATTATTGTAATATTTAGTTTAGTACTTATTAGCTAGGTATAATGCGCTGACAATTTTCATTAACTTCTTATCTAGCACCATAGCCCCCACACTATTTAACCCTATATTATCATATGACATATATTTATTATCCTTAAAACACAGGTCAGTAACTTAGAAAGTATCATCCTAATTTTCAATTTTTATCATGCGTTCAAATTTAAAAATCAAGAATTTGAATAATGCATAATGAAATAAAAAAAGCATAAACCATGAATCACTCTGTATATATTCTGTATAATGATATTTTCGTTGCGCGTGCGCGTATATATTATATATAAGTATATATTTTGCGAAACGGCTTTTTGTAGTGATCGTAAACCATTTTTTTTTCTATCCATTTGACTGATGGAATATCGAACACCAATATAATAAATACCAACGACTTCACTGCAGCAGCAGAACACATTATGTCAGCATAGAAAACGCATTCCGGTGTGTAAATACTAAACATATTATATTATAGGTTTTTCGTTCGATCATAAAAATTATAATTGGTAACACTTAGGTGTTTTGATTTTCTCACGCTATAGTTTCATTCGGTGATTAAATCTATATCTGTAATATACACTAGCGTTGTAAAAAAATATATAACTATTTTATAATAGTTTTATACAACTGTATAGTTAATTTATACTACGGAATATAATTAAAAATATTCTATGTCTATATGATTTTGTGCATGATGAACTAAAAAGTTATTTAACTGGGCTGAAATAATATGTTATTGAATTATTAAAAAATTATTCCTGAACATCGTTAAAAAACTAATTTAAAACATTGTAATATTTAAATTTATTGAGGAAATCTAATGAATTGTGTATAAAATATTTGTACAACCATACTTTATTATTATTATTATTTTTTGTAATACACATAACTTTTATTTCATACTGTGATGGTTATCTGGAAACCAACAATCTAATCAAATAATATTATTTGCCTGGTGCCCTGCGGCCGCATATATATTTTCAGTGCCCACACTATAGTACTATATTATTGCTTTTTTACTCTTATGATTGAGAAATAAATTCGTTTTGGAAAAAACAACGAATTCCACAACATCAATGACTTAAATACTTAATGTTGGCCTTACTTTTCCAATTCATTAACTCTCATGATATTTTGGCCTATTCGAGCCAATAATTCCAACATAACTTCAGGGTCTCCGTCGTTTTCTGATGACAAATATGCGTTATTTTGCCTGAAATCAAGGAAATTGATGGTTATAAAATGTATTATTTGATTTTCAGAAGTAAAATAGGTAAACATTTTACAACAATAAAAAATAGCACAAAATAATATTCATATTTTTTTTCTTTATATACATAGATGTATTTTAAATTTTTCACACAACAATCAATTATTAATTTTTGCGAATCCACGTGCTATAGAATGTACCATATTTCAATACTTTGCATATTAAATGATCTTAACCAGTTCTATTATAGTAAAAGAGTTGTAATTATTGTAGCCAAATTTTAAGATTATTTAGGTTTGTTCTCTGTGTTAAGTAGGGAAATTGATTCCAAAATATGAAAACAAAATGAAATAAATAAATATTTGAGTTGGTAGAAAACTTAAAGCCTCTGTATAAGAAAGTGTTTTAAAATAAAAATTGCATTAGTTATTAGAATTAAAAAAGTTACCACGTATCCATGTTATGTTAAAATTTATTATAAATTGTTAATTATATTATCAGTAAAAGTAAAAAATGCTCAGTAGTTTTCAAAACAGTCTGGGAAATAAGTATTATGGAAGTGTCTATTAATTAACTAATCATCAGATCTTCCCGACGACATAGTCTGGAGTAGTGAATAAACGTTGGATAATACACGGTTAATTTCGGATCTCTTCCTACTCACCCTCCACCCGCGGAGGCCAACCCACTTTAGCGGGATACTATACCCGGCTGCATCCGAGTTCCGTCCCGAGAACCTTTTTTTATACCAATTCCGTTCCTGTAAAAAAAAGGTATATACCAATTCCGTCCCAGTTAAAAAAAGGTATATACTAATTCCGTCCTGAATAATTTTCATAATTTAGTCGTATATATATATTTTAGCGTTTTTAAGAACATATTAGCATTATATTTTAAGCATTAAAGAACTTAAATAACCGCTCGTTAATTATTATAAATTTAGTTATCTTACTAATTTTTATATATGCTTTGCATTGTTTTCGAATGCACTTCCATCGTTCAATATCGTTATTCAACTCTTTGTGAAAACAAAATTTAAATTCATTTTTAATAATTAATTAACATTTTACCTTTTTCATTGTACATATATTGTAGACTATCCATTTTTAATAATATATTAACGGACACGCACAAATAACGACTGAAAAGTTTATTTGGTTCAATAACTGAAATCATATTATCTTAATTTATAATAAATTAAATAATATAATAATAATTAAATAATAAATAATTAAATAATATGATATTATTAAATTCGATTATTTTGTGCGATAACTGATATCATATTATCTTTATATCTAAATAATGTGATATTGTTGAATTCGATTTGACACGGGACGGAATTGGTATACCCGTCAAAAAAACCCTGGACGGAACTAGTATATCTAACAATTCAATTTTTATAATTGGGACGGAACTCGGATGCAGCCCCATACCCAGGGCGGCGGTTTGACTCAAACCACGCGTATTATTGGCGTGTTTCCGAGAGTAGCGTGCTCACACACATATACCAGGTATACATCATCGAGAAATAAATTTACAGCACTGTTTTATGGAAAACAGTATAGTTCCGGACCGGTACTCGTTATTATCATGGACGAGGGCCATCATTATGATATATATCCGCACGTGCATTATACCCGTAAACAATCTCTCCAAACGATTATTTCGGTGCACCTCTGTTGATTTATCCACACAAACTTATGTCTATATATATATATATATGTGTGTGTGTGTGTGTGTGTGTGTAGTATAAACATATGTTGAACTACATAATACTATAATTTAACGTAGTATAGACCGCTCCGCTGTGTGTGTATAGCTATATGGAGGAATTTTAATAAAACACGACGCCCTAGGGATCCGCAATGGTTTTTGAAACAATGATGTATAATTTTATTTATTGAAATAACGGAAGTTTTTTAAATCCAAATTTTTTTTATTCATTCAAAACTTTTGCCTATAAATTAAATTTCGCTTGATATGCCACCTATTGGTAACACTGAATGTTTCAGTATGTAAATTGTTGAAATACATTTCAAGCTAAGTATAAATGTATAGTAAACATTTAGTTATTACTTATTATTTATCATTTGATGGATAAAGATTTGAAAAGTACTACCAATTTCATTCAGCCACTTTTTAAATGTGTCCTCTTTTGAAAAATATTTTTTATCTAAAAACTTCTTGAACTTAATGAAGTGGTGATAATTATTGGGTGAACGATTAAAACTGTATGTACTTTGAATTCCCTAATCTGTTTATGAGGAAATTAGATACTTACCTAACGGTGGTATTATGCATGTAAAAACTGCATTGATTTCAACGGTGAACGTTCAGAAAAATAACTTTTATGTCTTTGGTAGAATCCTTGTTAATTTCTTAAGAATATTATATGCGATGTTCAATTTAAAAGAAAATGTACTGTAACCTTAAGATACAAAGTAATTAGTAATTATTATCTGGACGGCTCAGTCATATAATATTGTTTTGGACCGGATTCTGTTCATCTCATTTTTTGAACACTTGAAAATCCGTAGTAGACACGTAGATCGCTCATTATAGATCGCTTACTTCTATGCAGGATGCCAGGGGGTGAAAACATTTTCATCATAAACTTTAAAGATTGTACTAAATTGCTTACGATTTATAAAAGACATAAATCGTATCGGGACATGATTCTAAGTGTTGGTATTTGTTTCAATTATCGTCTATAATACGTTAAACTGATAATCGCACATAGTAATGAATTATAAATATGATTGGTATGGAATATGAGCACAAACCAGAATTCAAATATCAAGTATTTGCACTAAGTAAAATGTAATGCCGTTTGCCTTTTTTCTTAAGCATCGGAAATTTGTTGGGGGGTCACGATTGGTCGATAAACACGTGTTATGTGGGGTGATAATTTGTCATTAGTGGTCACCTATCTGGGAAATAGCTACACTAGCCGGTGATTGACCTAAGAACACGTTAGTGACTGAGGCCAACCACCGAGCAACACCAAACCCCTAAACTCTGAATCGTTTAGTGTAACTTAATTAATTGACACTAGATATATTTGTGGATATTACAATATCATTTTTAATTGTTTTTATTACAAATTATATGTATTATATTAAAAATGATAATTATGGTTACCCTTGTAGCAATGGATAAGGTGCAGATAAAGATGCTGGAATGGTGCACACAAGTATCACAACCAACAAACCACACGCCACCGAAGCTCCCACCATCATGTTTCCTGAAAATATACTGTAAATAAATCAATTTTATTATGTATTCTATAATAATTATAATTTATTAAAATAGTAAAACGTAGTCAACAAAGGCATTTAATATATTTTGTATTTCAAAATTAAAATAAATGACAAAAGTAGAAAGTTAAATCTGAACAATATCCTTTATATTATATGGCATTGAAAAATAAATCAAATGTTACTCGTAGTAAATGCGTATTATGTATTAAGCATAATAACTTTAGGGCACAATAATAATTAAGTTACATATTTTGAGAATAAAAAATGTTAAATTTATTGAAATTATTATGCTTAAACTCGTCATTTAATGAATCACAATTAAGCGATTTTTCTGATCTTATATTTTGAAATTCAATGTAATATACATATATGTTGAACAATTTTTACTGCAATAATATTCATGAAAATTTCATGTAAATTCAAAGACGACAGCGTTATGCAAAAAGCAGTTACTATTTTTGTATTACAATAAAATAAAATATTGTTGTTTTATATAGTTCATTCAAAAAATATTTTATTTACATAAGTGTGATTAAACTGAAACATGTTTGTATTTAACATATTATTTTAAATATAATATTTCATATTTTAAATGTAAATAAGAAAATAGTATTATGTTATAAGGTTGTTGCCATATTCATCACGTTTGCGTAAGTGTATCATATTTGCCTACCCATGACGCCGTTTAACTTTTGTCACAGAATATTATTCATAAAACCAATGAAATAATATTATTATTCTCTAGTTATATAAACATACTTTCATAAAAAATACCTTATTCTTATTTTTGAGCGGCTATGAAGTCTGATATTATATTCGTTCGAAACCACTTTACATTATAGTATTTTTTTTTTGCTATACTATAGGTGTATACTGTATAGGTATTAGTCTGTTTGATGTTTTTTTATACATAAATGCATAGGTAATAGATATGTGTGTATATAAACATAAATTTATATTGTTCTTTAATAAAGTGATCCAACATGCAAAAAATATGAGTTTTATAGTTAAATCTTTTGAATATTTTATGTATCAGTTTATATTAGAATACAGTATTAGAGTAACTAGCTGTAGATTACGTATTTATTAAGTTAAAAGTATTTACAACATTTATTTTGGGAAATTAATCAAGTAATATCAAAGTGAATCTAAATTCGATGAAAAGTATGTCACATATATATTCAGAATTTTTTTTAAAAGAACACTCTTTTTCTCAAAAGTATTTCCATTATTTGATGTAATTTCAAAATTATTTTGAAAAAGAACTATATTTTATATGTTTACCATTCTTTTTATCACTGTAATTTTTTTATTTTTAAATGACAGTATGTATTTTTAATTCAATCTTTTGATATTTTACAGTAAAATAGTTTTCTGAGAATCAAAAAATATAAAATTTATGTTTGAACAAGCATTTAATAAGTTATAACAGTTTTTAAATTTTGGTGGATGGAGTATTTTGTGGGGTACCTTGAGTCTTTGTGCCTCTCGGATCTCGGTTCGGTTCATTTGAACTGTAAATACTTATCATTCATATCTCATTAACTACTCGTCCAAAATATGTTTTTATATTTTGTAATACATAGTATTGTAGCATTGTAGGCAATGTATAGTTTTCAAGGGAGTTTATTTGATAAAATTCAGTATTAATGAAAATATCCAAAGTGTTATTTGAATATTTTTCGATAGAGATTTTTAAAACTATTCCAATTAACTATTTATAATCATTTTTACCAATATAATAGAAAAACTATTTCCTAAAAATTATAATGAAATATAAAAATATTTATGTAACTGGTTGTTGATTTCTACATTTATTTTGAATTTATTATAATATCAATTAACACGTAAGCCATACAGTTAGAGCTTTACTTTATTTTTAATAATACTTAAACCATTAATATGAAATGGTTAATGAGACTTCACTTAAAATTATGAACACGTCATTATCATTATTTTTGACACAAAATCTGTTCAAATCATGTATTGAATTTATACTATTATTGACCTAAAAATTACAATATCAATTTAGTATGTGTTTGTTTTAAGTATGTTTGTTATAACTTGATTCTGTATACAAAAATAAATTTAAGATAATATTAATTGTGTGATCAAACTTATTCTTATTCTTATTATAAAATCAGACGTGGTATGAATAATAGATTAGTTACTGAAAGTTTAATTTTTCTTAAGTTAACAAAAACCTATATTATGGTTATATACAATAAAATCATGCTACACATGAAGTAAATAATATTTATTTTTCATCCAAAAGTTATTTCATAAACATATTTTTAATTTCTGAAAAATTACTTTATTTTTGGACATTAAATGTATATCAGTAGATAATGTTGTACATTTATCATTTTGAAAAAAAACCGTTCGTTATAATAATAAAACTTAAATAATAAAAATAATCAAATTTAGAGATTATTAGTTATTTAAATTTAAAAAATAAAATCGTCATCTACAAATTAACCAATTATAAACCCATATGGACTTACGGAACCCAAATATAGGGCTCATCAAAGTCTTAAATAATTATTATCTAATTAAATCTAAACCTTTCAGTCGATACGTCCATATGAACACCAAAATCTCATTACCTATTCATTCAATATTTCCAACTATTTTCGAATAACCTTAGTATTACATATTTACAGCATAAACAATAATTTATTTTTAACGTTATTACTCGTATCTACAAAATTACCTATATTCTAAAGTCATCACACTATCATCTGGCACTTATCCCGGTTGACTTTCTTACTTCTAATATGTATAAAACATAATTTGCGCCACGATCTAACGCGACACAAGATGCGAGTGCCATATTATATTATTCATATTTTATTACCTATTGAAAGATTAAAAAATATACAATATAACATAAAGGAAGGTATATATGAGGTAACTATAATATATACATCACACCGATTTCAGTTGCTGTGGACGTCTGTCCGGTTCCACGGTGATCATATTTTCAAAGAACTATATTAAACAGGGTGTCCCGTGAGGATTTACCCATTGCKATATCTCCCGAAATAATGGTGATATCGAAATATTATGGTTTAGTAATAAGACTCACAGGGATAAGAACTACAATTATTTTATATTTTAATTTATTTTAATGTTTTGGTAAAAAAGTTAAAAAATATATTTTTATATTTGATTACTTCTAAAAAAGTTAAAGATAGCCATTTTGTAGAGTTTATTTTTCTGAAAATATTGACGTTTCAACATTTTATTTTCATTAATTTTCTGATTTTTAATATTTGTTTTTAGTTTCGAGAAAAATTGAGAATTATTTAACACCACAATGTTACCAAACATGTGACCCAGCATTCCCATACGGCCAAACGAATACATTCCGTGTTCCTAAATAATAGTGTTATACATTTATTATAATCACATTTTATTTCTTCAAAACTATAAAAAGTATTAAAAATCAGGAAAATAATGAAAATAAAATTTTGAAACGTCAATATTTGCAGAAAAATAAACTCTACAAAATGGCTATGATTAATTTTTTTTGGAAATAATTAAATAAAAAAATATATATTTTTATTTTTTACAAAAACATTAAAATAAATTTAAAAATTAAATAATTGTAGTTCTTATCCCTGTGACTCTTATTATAAAACCAGAATTTTGATATCTCCATTATTTCGTGGGATATCGATATGGGTAAATCCTCGCGGGACACCCTGTATACTTAGAGCTCGATCCACATGTGCACCGCAGTTGTTATGTGTTAAACTATTGGAAAGTAAACGCCCGTACCATATGCATTGCACTAAAGCTTAGTCAATATCGTATGATAATAATAATGTAATACCTACGTCGTGTGTTTGCCAGTTGCGTGGCTAGGCGTCTGAAAACAATGGTCCACTGCTAATAACGTTGTAAATATTAAAGAGCCCGAGGGATCAGCGCGTCGGCCACATTCAAATAATTAATATTCCACGCTACAGCTTGCTGGCTCGAAACCAGAGTCTAAAGATAATGTAATTTAGTTATATTATTATATCATATAATTTGTTGACAAAATGCATGTTGTGTTCAAACGTTGTAACACAGTGCACAGGCTAAAGGTCGGTAGGTAGATAGGTAGCTAATACTATTGTAGGCGGATCGGATTTCACATGTAATAAATCATTCGCAAGTTCTTATAATAACTAAACACCAAGAGAAGATTGTGTACGTAATAGCAGTGTAAGCAAAAGGTCAGTTTGTTTGCGGCAGGGAAAATCAAAATTTTTAGTGAGATGGTAACTTAAAAGACAACTTAGTAGCATATTTTATGAATTTATAAATTTTTATTTTTATTTTTTTTTTTTTATATAACTATTTAAGCTACCTAGCTATACAATAAATTATTTTATTTTAATTGCTTTTAATTTTTTCCACCAACTATAGGTAAATTAAACGAACTTTTTATCGAGTCATCACGTAATTTTTTAATCTATTCTTAAATAGATACCCATTTGTATTAAGTGCCGTGTATATGAATATTATAATATGTAAACAAATACATATATTAAATATAAGATATATATATATATATATATATATACCATATAACCTACATACCCGTGTATTATATCATGCTTTCCATTCGTTTCATCCTATCTGTTTCATTTTAATATTATTTCTACCTTTTTTTTTTTTTAAGAGCTATCCATTGATTTAATGATATATTTATTTTTTTTATTAATTGTCCAGTGGCAATTTAGGCCATTGGGAAGGGGGTGGTACTGTAGGTTGTATGGAACGGTTAGGTGTGTTACACGTGGGTGAGTTTAGGCAGAATTTTTATTGGGGCACCCGTAGGTTTCTTCCATGCCCCGCAGTGGGGGATGTTAATGATATTAAGTAGACATTAACGTCAAATTTATTAAAATATTTTAATAAAAAGCATAAGATAGTACTTATTAAGGTATTAAATGAAATATTTTATATAATTAATATATTCAATTATAAA